TGCATGTTTTTGGTCTGTGGGAGGAAACCGGAGTACCCGGAGAAAACCCACGCAGCACGGAGAGAACATGCAAACTCCACCCAGAAAGGTCCCTGCAGCTCTACCAGTTGTGCCACCATGCTTCCGTGTTGGGAACCACTGCTATAAACCATAAGAACCTCTTCTTGACAATAGAAACGACAGTTCTGTGATCGTTTGGACTCACTCGAGCACGTCCTTGTTGAACTGCTGCCGGCTGCCCAGAAACTCTCCGATCATCTGCCTGCTCAGTCCTTTCCTCTCCAGGATGAACCTGGCGATGCCCACCGGGGTGTCCGACACGAAGCCCTTCTCGATCAGGTACTGGATCCCCTTCTCTGGTTTCCTGCAGACCAAACAAACATGGCCGCCTGTGGTTTTATCTCTTTTCTGCTCCACTCTGCAGAGATCTCAGGAGCTGATTTTCAAACTTTACAGATTTATTAAAGGAGGTGAAGTCTTAAAATGTGATCCATCATAACAGCTTCTCTTCCTTTTAGTTAGCCTTCTGCTACCTTTATATTTTACTTTAGCTATTTTGCTTCTTCAAATTGTAGCTATGTTTTATTACTTTTAGCTAATCTGACCATTTGTGAGAAGACCGGGGGGGTAAGGGTTGGACCAGGACTTTTGCACAGTTCTGTCAGCTCACTTGTTGAACAGGTTGAGTCCGATGCGGTACTGCCGCCGCTGCACCACATCGTTGTTGAAGGCGGGGGAGTCCCAGCTGTGGCGGCTCTCTCTCTGGTAGGTCTGCTTCCCCAGCGGAGCTCCTGCGATCGGCTCCCGCAGGCTGTCGCGCGACGACGAGCCCGAGCTGCAGTTGTTGACGGTGGTGTCATCGTTGGAGTTGGTGGTGGTGGAGTTGACGCTCTCGTTGTCGCCGTCGGAGCAGAGCAGGTGGTGGTGGTGGAGGTGGGCGTGGTGGGCCAGGTGCTGCTGCTGCGCCTCCATGGTTTGGAGAGCTGAAGAGGAGGTGGAGGACAGCGGGGAGGGCGTGAGCGGCGGGGGCAGCGGCGACAGGGGTGTGAGGGGTGGAACCGGGGAGGGCAGCGGGGACTGGGGGGGCTCTGGGTAAGAATGGGGGAGATGATGGTGCTGGTGGTGCAGGTGGTGGTAGTGATGCTGGGCGAAGTGATGCGGCATGTAGGGGCTGCCACCGTGCGCGTGGTGCATGTACATGACGTGGGGCTGGCTGTACTGCGGGTGGTGGTGGAGGATGGTGGGGAGGTGAGGAATGGGTGAGGGGTGGGGGTGAGGGTGTTGGTGTTGCATGGGGTGTGAGGTAAGAGTCCGAGCTGACGGCATCGGCAGGGGGACGTTGGCGGGGCTGCGGGTTTGTCCCTGCGCCATGGCGACTGATCGGCCGTTGGGTTTGTGTTTGATGGTTCCCTGCGGCGAGTCGGCTTCGCTGCTTCCTCCACCTCCTCCACCTCGCTCGTCCTCTCCACTCTCAGCGTCCTCTCCTCCTCCTCCACCCATCCCCCGTTCTCCTCCTCGCTCCACTCCCGAGGGCTCCTGTTCGTAGACCAGGCGTCCGATGGACCCTCGCTCCGACCTGAAGATCAGCAAACGACCAAACCTTTAACAGATCCTGAAACTAAAGACGTACTCTTGTTTTTTCTTTTTGAACGTTGGGCTACGTGGAGTTTTATAGGAAGTCAGTGTTTAACCTGTAGCAGACAATAATCAGAATAAATTGCAAAGAAATTCTCATGCTGGATTCAAACTAACGGAAGGAACTTTCCACCACCTGAACCAACTTCTACTCACAATTACCTTCTAGTTCAAGGAGAGTAATAAAAGTGGTATTTGTTTTGGTAATGCATATCACCCGCCACCTGGCACGTTAACTTTTATAAGGGAAGGAATGGATTTCTAGAAACACTAGTGATGACTCAGAATCAGACTGAAAGAGACTTGGAGCCAAAAGGAAGGGGTTCTGTTTTATTGTTGCTGAGAGGAAGTTTTTAGTGACCCAGTTGTTGTTCTCTTCTATCCTGTTAAGCAAAGTAGGATGTAATGGACATGAGTTTAGCATGGAGGTAGAGCTCAGTTCAGGTCTCTCTTGTAAATGAGTCCCCGAGGCTCACTGGGATTAAACTGTATAAATAAAGGCCGAATGAATGAATGAAAGGGCAGATAGCACTGCTCCTTAGTGCTGAGTGTCATCAGCGTAACAGAGAAAATGAATGTAATATTTCTAAAAACAAACTGACAAGGAGGCAAAATATAAAAACAGGGGCCCCAGGACTGAGCCCTGGGGAACCCCACAGGTAACAAATGTTTCTGAGAGTTTCAATCAAATCTGTCTACCCATAAGGTATTTTGCTTACAAACAGGATTGACTGTTAACAGTTAAAACCACACTTTTAAGTAACAGTTTTTTGTAATATTTAGTGTTTTGTAATGAATGAGTCTCAGCGACAACAACAACAACTTTCAGCTCAATATCTGTAACAACGCTTGAGTTTCAGCCTTTTTGTGCTTCCTAAACTCAGCTGGCTTTGGTGGCCATCTTGATTTGACTGTTGTTGATGAAAATCTAGTAATTACTTTTTGAGATTTATTCAAATCTATCTAGTCATTCATGAGATATTTTGCTGACACACAGCCAAGGAAACACATACAAATCCATTATACACTATTTTGCTTTTTGCTGGCAGATACAAATTTAATTAAAAATACCTTATTGGGACTGAATCAAAACTAATGAAACGTGAATCATCTAGGGTTCATATTCTGTCAGTAATGAAATAAAGTCAAAGTAAAATTAAGAATTATTGTAATTTTTTAATTCACCTTACATTTTTCTTCTTTCCTAACTTTGTTCAGATTTTGTATTGCATCATTTGGTTCTGTAGTGCCCCCTGCTGGGTGGATGTTTGGTCAAACGTCACGCTGAACATTCATTAATCTCAAATTCACCAAAAAAACAACTAGAAATAAAAATTAAATTCATGCTTGAAGTCTCACCTGTCGCTCATGTCCACTGAACTGTCGCTCGGTGGTTCTATTGTCAGGACAGGGAGGTGTCCTCCTCCTCCTCCCCCCGCCCTCCCTCTGTACTCCCCCCGACACTCGGTGCAGGGAGTGCTGCTCCTACGGCTGGCATTGCTGCCTCCCTCAGTCTCCCTGCTGTCCTCCCTCCCCCCTGCGCCTCCTCCTCCCCAGTAGTCTGTGTCGGAGCTGGAGGCGGGACGGGACAGAGGCGAGGAGGGGAGGCAGCCTTCGTCCATGTACAGAGTGACGTCGCTGAAGGAGGTGGCGGTGCTGTCCTCGTGCATGGAGGCTCCTCCTCCCCTGCCTCCTCCCACCGGGCCGGCCGCTCGTCTGGAAGCTGTGTTTGTGTTGCGCCATCCGCACTGTCTGTAGTCTTCTTCATCTTCCTCCTCATCCTCCTCCCCTTCCTCTTCCTCCTCTTCCTCATCATCGTCTCCCTCCTCCTCGTCCTCATCATCTTCGCCTTCTCCCCCAACATCCTGCGAGTCCTCCCGGCCGGACTGGCAGGTGAGGGAGTCGTCCATGGAGTCGGCCAGAGACTTGACCTGCAGAGTCAAAAACAAGTGATCAAGTCCAAGAAGAGAAGGACTTTGTTTCCATTCGGTAAAATCAATATGCAACACGGGACAATTTTCTTGTTATTAATGAATACTCTTCATCTTCAGAGTTAGTCATGGAGTTCCTCAGGGTTCCGCGCTTGGACCGATACTCTTTAGCAGGTATTTAGATAGCAAAACTTACTACACCTGGACCATAGAAACTACACCTGGACCATAAAAACTACACCTGGACCATAGAAACTACACATAGACCATAGAAACTAC